GGGGGGGGGGGGAAGGTGGCGCGGTGACCACCGGTGGTCGGCAGGGTTGCCCGCTCACATGCTGCCCACACGTCCAGGCCTGGCACACCCCCATCAGGGCCTCTGGCACTGCCCTGAGGGGAGAGACGAGGCCCCTGCACATAGGTGACCCCACCCTCCGTGTGGGGCAAGGGCCACCGGGGTGGGGGCCTTCTCTGCGGCAGGCACGGACACACTGGGGGCTGCTTCCAGATGGCGTGACGGAGGCCGCACTCCACACCAATCTTGGCCCACGGCCGCCTCTAGCAGCATCTGGCACTCAAGGCCCAACTGGGGTCACCTTCCGTGGAAAGCCCCCAGAATCCTCGTCTCCAGAGGCCCTGCTTCAGGTTGGGGCCCACGGCTTTGTCCCCTCTAGGCCATCAGTGACCCAGGGGCCACGTCTTCCTCTCATCAGGCCCAGGGAAAGCCGGGCTGACGGACCCAGGAGGAGTTGTGGTGACTCCCGACCGGGGTCCGGTTCTCCCCAGGCGGCCCGCTGAGCAAGATGCTGGACCCATAGCCCGAGCCGCTCCCGGTGGGAAGCCTGGGCTGTGCGGCTGCCCGTGGGTCTGCAAGAGGGGGGCCAGTCCCGCCTCCGGTCAGAGGTCAGAAGCTGAAGCCCGGTGCCTGGAGGGTGGCCAGGGAGGTGGTGGCCCGAGCCCCCTGCACTCAGCCACACTGAGCTGGGAAGCGGGGTGAGGACTGGGGCAGAGAGGGGGCCGGCCCTCCCACCCCACCTGTTCAGGTAGAAGGAGAAGATGTTCTTCTCCACCAACTTCTGCTTCATCAGGTTATCAAAGACGGGAAGTACGTCGTCAACAGAGATACGGGGGTAGGCCATGCCGAGAATGCCGTCGAACTTGGCTGCGATGAAGGTGATGCCCGGCTGCTTGATGGCCTCACCGAAGATCTGCCTCTCCACCTTGACGCCAGCCACGGTCGGAGTCTGGCAGGGTACCTGCAGGCCGGAGGGGGGTGGTCAGCGGGCCTGCGGGGCCTGCGGGGCCCGACCCCAGGTCCCGCGCATGCGGTCACGGCCACAGCTCCAATACCCACTCTGTCCCCACGGAGCAGCGGTGCTCGGCCCCCGCCCGCCACTGCGCACCCAGGACCTGAGACGGGCAGAGGGCCCGGGAGAAAGGCTGGCGGCACTGGTGGGACAGGGACGTGGGGTCTGTGCTGGTCGGGGCACCGACTGAGTTGGAGTCAGCTCAGAGGGCTGGGCTCCGTGCTCGGCTCTGGCCTCCTGGCCCCCTCCCCCCGCCGGCCCAGGCCTGCTCCTGCCCTTGGCCTGCTGGAACCCCATGACCCAACCCCATGACCCAACTCAGCAGACTTGAGGCCACGCCGCCCCTCCCCCACCACGGGCCAGGCAGCTGACAGAGAGGCAGAGCAGGATGTGGGAAGAAACGTCTGTTTGGGGTTGACACCCTGCAACACCGGGAACAGGGGAGCGTGGCAGACGACATCCTGTTGTGGACCCACAGAGTCCAGGAGGAGGGGACCCTAACAGAGCAGGTGGATACGGGGCAGGGGCAGTGCGCCTGCAGGAAGGTCCCCAGCCGCCACGGCCCTCCCCACCGTCCAGACAAGCAGGCCCTGGCGTGCCCTGCAGCCTCCTGGTCCGGCTGGGGCTTCGGGTGCCCAGACGGCCCTCCTGGCATCCTCCACAGGGGCTCTGGCACACCTCAGCCCTCCCTGACCGGCTCCCCTGCCTGGCCGCCGGCCGCGAGGCTGGGAGGAGGCCGCACCGCCAATCACTCGCTCGCCTGCCGGGTCCCGGTTCCACACCCGTGCCCCGGTGGCTCCACGGGCGTCGAGACCCTGGCTGGCCCGCTCTCCCCACTTCAACGCTCAGCGGCCCGGCCCTGCGGTGGGGCCGGGGTCACGGGGAGCATCCCAGGGCCCAGCAGCGGCCTCGCCACAGACTCACCGACACGGTGTCCTGGCTCAGGTACCCGGAGAGGCTGCCGGAGCCATAGTGGATGTCGAAGGACGTGCCATTCTTGACGTACGTGCTGGACTTGCCGCTGTTATACTTGTTGTGGAGCCCTGCGGGCAGAGCCACCGTCAGCCCGCTGCCCCCGCCAGGCCCTGGGCATCTGCCACGGAGCCCCCCCCCCGCCCCCGCCAGCCTGGGCCTCGGCCAG